ACCCGGCCCCAGCCAAATTGTAACAAAAAAATAGCCAGGCGTTGTGGCAGGCACCGGTAGTCCCAGCTACTCGGGAGGCTGAGGCAAGAGAATCGCCTAAGCCCAGGAGTTGGAGGTTGCCATGAGCAGTGTGACGCCACAGTACTCTACTGAGGGCAATAAAGTGAGACTCTGTCTCTACCAAAAAAAATATAAAAATAAAACGTAATGCCTAAACAGTCTTCTTTCCCATACTATGTTCAGGTCAAAAATATTCTTTTGCTGTCAGGTGCAGCCACAACATTCACCTCTTGATATCCTTAACACTGCCAACAAATATATGAATACCTAATACCTTTGAAGAAGTCCATCCATGTCAACTATTACAAATGCCTTAACTACACTGAACTAAATCAAAACTCCTCATCTAACGTTAATTCTCTACCAAATTACATTTACTCTTCTAATATTAGTATCTGCCAAAAGCCTTTTTTATTCCAGTGCAAATTATTTTAAAACAATAAAATACTTATACCTCTTCTGTAACCAATGAAAATTCAAAAAATTCAAGGAAAGGTGAATAGTCAAATTTGACCTATCCTGACAAATAAAACTATTTTACATTTGTGAATGTCTAAGTTCAGTATTTATAAGAAGAATCATTATTCACAGACCAAAACATTTTTAACCACCTAGCAAGAATGTACATGGCAGTGATAAGGCCTATATAAGAGAATTAAAGCTGTCAGTTTGCTCAGTAAATCCTTACCAACTTAAGATTATTTAGTCTAACCTCAACATTATTGCTATTTCTATAGTAACTGCATTAGTTTCAAAGCTACCAGATAGAAAATAATTGTAAAACAGAACTAAGTATTTGCTGAAATCATTACTGACCCAAATTCCACAAGTTGATACATATGTACTAAACTGCTATTTTTAGAACAAATCCTAACACCTTTTCTTACTGAATTTAAGCCAAAGTGAATTTTTCAATACTGATTTTGAAAAAAGAGAAGGAAAAGGGAACAGAAGTGAGGAGTAATGAGTTCTATGCAATGTAACTTCAGAACTGTTTCTTTAACCCAATGGTTTCTACAGGAAAAAAACAAAGGTACCAAATACATTTTTTAAACTACTTTAACAATACATTTTCTGGAAGCTAAATCTTACAGTATGGCAAAGGTCTCACATTTCAAGTAAATGGAAAATTATCCTATGCACACACACACTTCTAAAGTTCTCTTTATAAACAGTGAATTCACATACATTATCGATATAAAAACATTTCCCATGTTTTCATCTTACTGAAAAGATTGAGATAAAAATTTAAAAATAGAGTGTTTACTGAAAGTGAATTACCACTGAAACTTTGTGAAGTAATTTTCCCATAATGAATATACCTCCATTAAAAATCACTGAACTGATTACTTTAGAAGTGGCTTAAAAATTCTTAGAAAGTATTAAGCTACTTCAAATGAACCAATAGCAAACGGGGGCATATTCTAAAATGAGAATATTTGAAAACAAAAACTGAAGATTTCTTCACTTCCAAAAAAAGTAAGCAATTTCAAAACCCTAAAAAGCTTACATATTTTATATGGTTACTGAGAAAGCAAATATGTTGCTCTGCATGAAAACTAAAATATCACCTTTCCATGTTATTAACATAAAATTCTAAAACGTAATAAAGGAATCATTCTCTACTATTTTCTAAACTTTAGTTTAAAATGAAGGTGGTAGTATCTCATCATATTTTGTTATCTTTAATCATTTAGTATTATACTTAAGTATATTCTAAGTAATGTATCTCTGCACCAATAACAGCATTGTTGTGCAAACTTTCAGAATGGACAGTAATAAATTTCTTTTTCCTTATATTAAGAGACTTATAAATTGTAAATTACTCCTTTCAGTTGTGTTTTATTCCTGAACAGGCTTTACAGAAAATGAAGTTTGTAAATTATCATACAATGATTAGGTGGTCTGGTCGTGTTTTTCAGAAAAGAAATACAACTTGGCAAATACAAACAATGTACAATAAAAATTGTGAAATACAGTCTTTTTTAACAACCTCATGATTAGTTTCAATAATCACTTACCTTAATAGGTAATTTAGCTAACGTCAATATTCACTGTACTCTACAAGTTAAAAATATTTCCTATGACGATCAGTATTTGAAAAGATACAAATCAACCGAACAATAAAAATACAACAGAAGCCTAAAGTTTCCCTGTACCTTAAAGTCACCAAACTTTGAATAGTCAAGTTTAGCACAACCTTTCAGACTAACAAGAATAAAACCCTAATAAATTTTTAAAATAATTCAATTTTGTAATATTTTAAAACTGAATTACTGCTGTTAATTTTCCTTGGAGAAATGACTTCATTATTAATCTTAATCAGATAAAAATATTGTAAATCACTATGTTCATAAAGGAATTTAACTCTTTATGGGTTGGCTGCCGCAACAGATACAACATGCCAGAGACAAGTCTTCAAAGACCATTTTAAGTCCCCCTCCACACACACACACACACACACACCCCAAACAGAAGACACTAAAGTGAAACCAACCAGACTAAACTACTTTGTTTGGTATTTCAAAATTATTGAGAGTACAATGATAAAAAAAAAAGCAAGCACCTCACTGACTTTCCCGACTTTTTTTCATATTAACATTTGGCTCAATAAAACCACAACTCTGGAAATTGTTATTAGTCATTTGATGCAATATTTGATACTGCTTTCTATGCATTTCATAACTAAAAGTACAGTTAAGTCACGTAAATTTCATGTGCAGAGACTATGAAATCAAAAAAGAAATTTTCAGTCATCTTATTGCTCACATAAGAGTCTGGTAAAATAATTTTGAGGTCTTATAACACTGATAAATCAACTAAAGAAAACAGAAATAAATGTACTTTAAATACTGGAAGAAATCTCTCTCCCAGACAGCATTCAACTAATTTTTTTTGAATAGAGGCATACTTTTAAAAGTTACATAAACATTTAATCTTGTGTTCCTATATATTTACATGACTATCATTAATTCATACCAATTGTGGACTACTTTTAAGAGTAAAATGCAAATCAGAAGAATTTTTCCATAATTATCTTTTGGGCAAGATGGTCAAGTTCAGCCTTAGTAACCTTTTTCAATTAAAACAGACTCCAAAATTTCTACATAGTCTTTTAAAATGTTATTTTAAACGTAACAGAAAATTGATTTGCATGAAGCTACTTCTTCAGTAAATTTTATATTTATTTCAAAACGAAAAGTTGGGCAAATTAAATGTGCATGTATATGCAGCTAACATAAGCCAAGGGAATAAAACCCCTTCCATAACATTTTTTAAAACAAATCTTCGCCATAAATTTTAGAAGGGCAGAAAGACACTTCAGTGTCACTCTACCTTTAAAAAAAATATTTAATGATAATTGATAAAAAGGGGCAGGAAAACCATGGCTTCAGGGCCAAATGTGGCCCTCCAGAACTCCAAGTGCGGCCCCTCTATCAAATCCAAACTTCACAGAATAAAACCCTTTATTGAAAGGATTTGTTCTGCAAAATTTGGATTCAGTCAAAAAGCTGCACTTAAGGATCCAGAAAGCCACATATGGCCTCAAGGATGCAGGTTCCCCAGCCCACAGTCCGATAACTTAATTCTGTCACAGTTCTCAATTCCTGTCGATACTTTCCATTCTGCAAAAAGGAGGGCTCTAATCCTCATCCTTGATAAAAACCAGTTTGTTGTACCCGAAACTGTGAAGACTAATGCTTTTCGATACCACTAACTTTTGAAGTACAAAGGCCTAACTTTTGAACAACCAAAACTACACACTGTTAAAATCCTTAGGTTTCTGTCTCATTCAACAAGCTGACTCAGTACATTTAATACACTGTAAGAAAAGAGCTAACATACCTAAACTCTGCTGCTGGAGTAAACCACCCTTACCGGTATAGGTATTAACAGGTCAAATACACTTGACATTCTACATAAGTCAGAGTAAAATTAATGGATACCAAAAAGTGACAGAAAACCTGAAACTTAAAATAGGTGAACAGCAATTCTGGCATCACAGTAACACTTAAATTTCAAGTGAGAACTGAAGTTTAATCTCTGCAATCATCTCTGCTACACACGATTCCCTTGAACCTACACGATACTATCAACTTGGGTCAAAAACTACTCAATTGTCATTCTATTATGTATGATAAGAGCAATGAAAATAAAATGCTACCAAACTGCAAATTTCATGCTGTATTATTCTATATCACCCCACTGGGAGAGAAAAAAACAAATATAACAAAGACCTAGTAAAAGCGCCTTATAAGGTATATTATAGCACTATTGATTTCAAACTACAAAACTTCCAAATGCAGTTCAAAGTTGTAATTAACTTTGCTTAGACATTAAAAAGATCTACCTTTTGCCTTCAAACGCGCACCATATATGCTGAAAATCGACTTTGCTTCTATAAAGTTATGCAAATCAGTCCACAACACGTTATAAAAGAATCTATCAATGCAACTCAGGAAACTAAAAAGAATCACTGCAAGATTCTGATGCAATATGCGTACGTGCAACACTAATTTTCATTTTAATCTGATCTATACCCTTGATCTAGGGCCTAAGCCAAGATTTAATCGAAATATGCTCAACCTCAAAGCGTCTACTTTTTTGTTCATTTAGTGGACCGGATTATCGAGCTCACTAATCCACAAAAAGTGTACCGTATTCTGTATTAACGGACAATAGTCTCAGGCACAGACCATATAGACAGATAAAGAAATCAATCGGTGCCTTGACACTTGCAACCAGGCAAGAGTTCCATCTAACCAAGCACACCCTAGATTGACTACACTGAGAAGAAACACAAATTGCAAGATCTATAAATCTGACCAGGGTTAAATGTTATAGTCACCCCAACTACGAAATTTTTCACATCCATCTACTCCCATGTTCTAAGAGAGAGTGACAGAAAGGCAAAGAGGAGCTGCCGCAGAAATGGATACAGGTCAAGTCTAAGTCGAATCCATCCTCTTGATATCTCCTTTTGTTTCTGCTAACGATCTCTTTGATGATGGCTGTCATGTCTGGGAGCCTGTGGCTGAAGAAAAAGGAGGAGAGAGATGGCAGAAGCTGCTGGTGGCGGGGCTTCTTCTGCAGGATGGAAATGGCTCTGGACTTGGCGGTAGCTGATGCCCCTCGCTCTGCTGCCGCTTGGCTCTGGACCGCAGCCGGGTAATGGCTGCTGCGACGGCTGCTGGATGGTTGCAGCGACTGGGCCTGCTTCTCCTCAGCAGCCAGAGGCCTGGCAGCGGCGGCAGCGGAATGGGGAGAAGACGAATAATCCTCGCAACGGCTGCCTCCTCCGGCGGCCTCCGGAGCCCGGGCCAGGGGGGGTGCGGCGGCGGCGGAGGGGAGGTTTAAAACCTGCCCGGGTCCCTGGATGTGCCGCCGCCGCCGCCGCCGTGTTGGAGGCAGTAGAAGGGGAGAGACCAACTCTCCGGCGTTCCCAGCCCTGGAAATGGTGACAGGCGATTCCGACCCCCTCCCTGGAGCTGCAGCCGCCGCGGCCGCGGCCGCCGCTTCTCCCCCCCGCTCCAGGAGCGGGAGGTGCCGCCGCCGCGCCTCAGCCGGCTCCCGCCCGAGCCGACGGCTTCCACCTTCCCTTTCAGAAGCCGAGGAAGAGGCTGCACGGTTAGAAAAGAAGACGAAGAGGAGGCGAGAAACGCCGCCGCTGCCGCCGCCGCAGGCCGGCCGGCTCCCTGAGGGCGCTGCCCCCGCGGCTGCTCACAGGCGCTGAGAGGGGCTCGGGGCCGCGGCCGCCGCCGTCTCTCATCTCCCTCGCCTGAGCCCGGCCTCGCCTCAAGCGGCTCAACTCTCAAACTTCCATCATGGCTGCAGCTTCCGAGAGGAGAGAACTGAGCGCAGCCGCGTCTCGGCTCCCCAAAGCGTATCCTGCCGCAGTGCACAAAGAGTCCCGCCACATCACCGTCCGCCAGCCTGCCCGCCCCCTCCGCGGCCTCACGGGGAGTCCGGTCGCTTCGGGAGCCGGAGGGGAGGCGGGAGGTGAGCGCCAGGCGGACGCGACCACGCCGGGGTGGGGAGGGCGGGGGCAGTAGGCGGGGGCTGGAACGGCAGCTCCGGGTGCGAACGCAGAGCCCCCAACCTGCAGGCGCTATTGAGCATGCCCAGTATGACTGCTGGGGGGCTCGCTCGGGCTTGTTCCGAGGCGCCGGTCAGTAGCTGCACTTGCCGTGGCTGCTTTTGCGGCAACGCGGGGCTAGGGGATTGAGCTGTACCTCGGCCCCGGCCCAGAACCCAGCCTGAGGTAGGGTAGGCTCTTGGGGTTGGGAGTGGAGGGCTGATGACGAAAGCTGAGCGGGCGCGTTGAGCATTGTCACTGACTCAGCCTGAGGTTACCTTTGCACAGGTGGAAAGGACCAGGTGACCGCGCTAGTAAGTGTACAGGGAAATGCACGGACAGTCCCTGCAGCGAGGACCTCCTTTCCCTGACTGTACTCCTAGATTTCCCCGGAATGGCCGGCATCCACTCTTCCCTTTTGCACCGCTGTCGGATCACAAGTCGTTCGCACCCTTTGCCTAGACATTTCCCCATCCCCCTTGTCCTCAAGGTGTCAGTCTTAGCACAAAGAACAACCTCCTATTGTGTCTCCAGCGTGGATCACCTCATCCGGCTCCCTTCCACCGCCCCACCTCTCACTTCCCCGGCAACTCGGCTCTTTTGCCCTAAAAATAAAAGCTTCCAGCCTAGCGCAGAGTGCGAACACGTCGCCCCTGAATTTCCAGGGCCCAAAGGACACCTATGTAGGTGGGCTGACAGTGGATCCCGTGAATGGGACGCACCCCTCAGCCTCCTCCACTGGCCTTAGAGAGTGGAGCATCTCTCCCCCTTTGGCTCCAGGTGGATTCACCAGGTCGAACTCAAGTTCGGTCCTTGGAGGCTACCTTGCCCCGCCCCCTTTTGGCCTCTGAGAAAACGTGGCAGGGCGGATCGCCCGGGGCAACCCATTGGCGCTACCCAGGCCTGGCTGTTCACGCTCGTGGCCGAGGTTACCGGGCCCGAGTGCGAAGTACGGAACGGTAGGAAGCTGCAGCCCTGCGAGTGGGCGGGGCGAGGAGGATATGGAGGGTTCAAAAGGAGGTGGAGGGATACGCGGGCCGCAGTCGGAACTACTTTCTGAGGGGGGTCACGTGTGTTCTAGTTGGGGAACTTTCCAAATTCCCACTCCCCTATGATAGCTCCGGAGGCAAGTGCTATGCTTCCTTTGCCTAGGGAGCCTCGGCCGGGTACAGGCAACAGGACCCGAGTCCCATCCCGGTCGCGGCGGGAAAAGGGGATAAGATGAGCCTCCCGGGGGAGCGCTGTCGGGGCTAGCGCTGGCGGAGCTGGTTACACAAGCACCCACATCCAAGCACGTGCCTCCGCCTCCCAGCTCCGCCGGCCGCCTCCAATTCGTGCAGAATACCGGGACGGAGACCCCAGTCTGGACCCACTCTTAGGCATGCGACCAACAGAGCAAGCTGAGAACTGACACTCTGCTCTGGATCGACCTTTCCTGCGCGTTCCCAAAAACGTGGGAAAAGGAGCCGGGCGCAAAGGGTCTAGGGAATCTCCCTCGCTGATGCCCTGCCACTTCGAGTGAATCCTTCTGGTTCTGTGCTCCCGAGTCAAAAGGGTACCTCTAGGTGCAGCCCGCTGCCTGGATGCCCCAATGTTGCAACAAACTTCTAATCACTACCCCTGAGCTGGTGAGCGCGCCCCACCTACTGTAGACTCAGCCAAGTGACGTATCTGGTCCGGGAACATAGTCAATGGCCTGTCAGCCCCAAACAAACCTGTGAAGTCTGCTTACAGCCCCCGATTGGTTGACCTGTCCTCGTGAGAGCGCTTGTTCAGAAATGCTGAGAACTGGAGTGCATTTCCCCTGACACCAGAAAGCTACAAAGTAGTCCCCGTTATGCATAAAGAGAATTGGCTTCAACATCAATCTAGGAATTTATTTTTTATTCTTTCCCTGGGGAAGTAGAACCCAAGATGACTATTCAAGTCCAAAAATATCTTATTTGAAACCAAGGCTGAGGCACTGGGGTGTTTTCAAAATTTGATAAACTGAGACTCTGTGTGTGCCATAATTGTGAGCAGAGCCTGATAAGGTCTAAAGAGGATTTATGCAGGGTATAAGAAGATAGTATATGTGCACATCATAGTTGCAGGTAGCCCCTGAAGACTAGAATTCCCAAGAGGCCTAGCTCAGAAAGCCACAGGCCATTACCTAACTCAAGGACTACTAATTAAACCAAGGATATTTACAGTATTCTTAGAGAGCTCTGAGCTCCATAAAACTTTACATTTATATACCACGTCTTTTCAAGACAGCTCTCTGGGAGTTAACAACCTGCTGAAGTTTCGATGTTTATATTTATCCAAGGATGGTTTTGGGCATGGTTCTGGTTAGCTTGAAAGAAGACTACAGGTGAACTACAGGTGGAAAAGGAAATGGAGAGAAATCGGAAAAGAGTAAGGCAAATGCCTCTATTTGCTTTACAAAGATTCAAATCCTGTCCACACAGACTAGTGCTAACTAGAGATTTCATTTTACAAGTAACCAAAGATAAGGAGTCCCTGATGTCTCAGTGTTCTGCTAGATTGCATGGTAAAAACTTGAGCTGTGCTCAATTGCATATCAACTACTGCTTGGTTGAAAAATGGGAAATGGGCTCAGCGCCTGTGGCTCAAGCGGCTAAGGCGCCAGCCACATACACCTAAGGTGGCGGGTTCGAATCCCCAGCCCGGGCCGCCAAACAACAATAATGGCTGCAACCAAAAAATAGCCGGGCGTTGTGGCGGGCGCCTGTGGTCCCAGCTACTTGGGAGGCTGAGGCAAGAGACTCGCTTGAGCCCAGGAGTTGGAGGTTACTATGAGCTGTGATACCATGGTACTCTACCCAGGGGGATAGCTTTGAGGCTCCGTCTCAAAAAAAGAAAAAAGGGAAATGAAGATGAACTTAAATAAAGGAAAGTAGATTGGGGAAGGGGTACAATGTGCCACACTTATTTCTCAATTTGCTGATTTTGTCCCCATCCTACTGATTACTATAGTGCACTACCCTATTCTGCCCCTCCCCTGGAGCCTACCCCTATGTGACCATTAGTCTCAGCATCTGAGAAGCTCTTAAACCTGCCTCCTTGAAAGAAAATGAAGCAGGGTTCACTCCTGTCCCTGATTACTATTAGGTACGAAGAAAGAGGATCCTCTTCAATTCCATGCCACAGAGTACTGTCCAGCAGAGAAGATTTGCATTACCAGCACCGAAGTGCTGGAATATGACACCACCCAGCAAGCACTTCCATCTGGCTGAAGGAAGAAAACGGGAAATAGGTTTTGCTGCTTCTCTAAACATCAGGTCCCTCTACTTCTCTCTAGTGGTGAATGAAAGGATCACCAATGTTGGCAGATACTTAGCCAGCTTGACAGCAACATCAGGCTGTTATTAGGAGCTGCTGATTAAAAACCTCCTCCCATTCCTAGTGTTGTTTCTGAAAGAAATACAAATGTATCCTTTTTCTGTTTTTGTTTTTCTTCACTCTTTTCTTTTACCCAAGGGATCCACTTAGCCAAGTGGTAGAGCTAAACATCTAAAATAGCTGGCTCTATCTAATGTCAAGGAAGTTAAAAATAATAATGGTATAAGTTCAACTGAAAATATATGCTTGGCTGTACAGGTAATACAATGGTTTCTAAGCACTTCAGGTCTTTACCTTCCTGGGTTCATAATGCCCTAGGGAGAAATGGAAGCTTGTGACAAAGAATTTTATAAAGCTTCAGGGAGACTAACTATATAAAAATAAATAATAAACATGATAAAACAGCTTTAATTATAGTTTGTAACAGCTGATTCCAAAAAATGTATTGTTACTACACCCAAAGACTATCCGAAGAAAATTCTTTTCTTATTTTCTTTGATAAGTAGAATGACTAGCAACTGCATGTAGATGATATAGTTAAAATACTCTTTCTAGGTTCTGTTGCTAAAATGTCTTTAGTGTAAATTGCCTTTCTCATCTCCCACACCTGACCTTTCAAAAAGAGATCTAAATCATTTTTTTTTTTGGTAGACACAGAGTCTCACTTTATCGCCCATGGTAGAGTGCCATAGCATCACACTGCTCACAGCAACCACCAACTCCTGGGCTTAGATGATTCTCTTGCCTCAGCCTCCGAGTAGCTTAGACTACAGGCACCCACCACAGTGTCTGGCTTTTTTTTTTTTAATTGTTGCAGTTTGGGCAGGGCTGGGTTCAAACCTGCCACCCTTGGTATATTGGGCCAGCACCCTACTCACTGAGCCACAGGTGCTGCCCCTAAATCAACAGTTTTAATGTTTAAGCAATCTTCTCTATTTTTGTCTAACTACTGTTTTCTAAATGATACAGAATTGAAAAATCTAATAGTTTTGGTTGAATTTAAACTGTCCCATTCTTCCAAAGATCTGAAGGCTTTTCCTTTATTTCATTTATCCTAATAACAAATGTTGTTCTTTAAATAAACATAACTTTCCCAACGCATTCTCAAAAAGGCACTTCCATGGGCTATACAAGTAACTATATCCTAAAAGAGAATTTTCCATTATTGTCTGTAAGATTCTATGTCCTGAATCTCTCCTGAAGCTATTTCAGATAGCATGGTGTCACCTTTCACATCTCAGTAGAGAGGTATTCTGTTCGAAATCATCATTCTCAGAGAAATAAGGGTCGAGTTGGGTGTTTCTGGGAACCACAGCACAGACTAGGTAGTCACTATGTCCAAGTGGCATTCAGAAATTGTGGCTTGGACCAAGAAGTGATTAAAACATTTTTCAAAAGACCTAACATGACAAGATAGCTGTATTAGCTGTCCAGCCTCCATGTGAACTTTGGCAATTGGGTAGTCTACTTTGGTTCCCGTAATGCTAACTCTATTATTTCTCTAAAACACATATTCTGCTTTTTACCCTTTACAATAGTAGAAAAAATAATTCTTATATACCAGTAGGTACTGGGACGTCTACCAGATGCTTCACAGAATAGTACAAATTTGTCTGAGT